TACTTCATTTTAATTAGAACAAATTTACATAAATATGTATAAGCACACTATTTAGTTGCTCGATTTGTAAACAAAGCTTCTCAGCGGTGAAAAATATACTATTGTGAACAACCTAAACGAGCGAAATTCATAATAGCGCTATTCTTCATCGAATGAGCGCCATAATACCAAATGAAAATTCGTTCGCTCAGCACTTTCGACCACAGTCGAAAATCGAATGCAACTCATAATAGGGGCCAATTATTCATCAGCAGTGACAGATGGCTGAAATGATGATAAGTGCAGCCACTTCATACTACTAGCAACTTTCAACTCAGAGTTTGAGCTGGAGCCAGCAATGCTACGCTGCTTCAACTCAGATGCGTGAGCGGTGGAAGACGATGAATTCGGTTCCGGCATGAGTACAGTAGCGCCAAGAACAACAGCGTCAGGATAAGATAATTTCTTAGACGAACAACCAGCAGCAGCAGGGGCAGCGTCGGCGATTGAAGTAGACACGTCGGATTTCTTAGACAAAACATTAAGGACCGTCTACATACAACTTTGGCGTTGCGTTGGCGCTAACGTCGCTTTGAGAGCAGCGCGAGTACCGCCAGTGCTTGCTACAATGAACGCTTAGCAGAGAATACTTTGGTCACGGAATTAACATACTAGCGGCAGATAAATCAAAATTTTATATCAATAATTGCATTAAAAACTATATTTCTTGTCCGCATTTTATTAAAAGGAAAATTAAATCACATAATTTTGATTATTTGGAACAGCTGAAGAACGTCGCGCGCGAAAAGTTGATAGTTGGCCATCTTTTTGTGTTGTGTTGGCGTTGGCGTTGCCCAACTTTGGTTATGTGGAGACTTTGATATAAATGCATGTATTCATAGTCAGTTATCGAAACGACGCCAACGCCAATGCAACGCCAACGTTGTATATAAGCGGGCCTTTAGTTCGTTCATTTGACTAAGCGTTGGAGCATTGCTAGCAGTAGACAGAAACGAGTTTGCAGGTGTAAGAGAATTACAGATAGATACATCAGCAGCAGTGTTGCCGCACCGTCCCAAGAAAATGTATCCAAATGTATCCAATTTTCTTTTTTTACGTATCCATCTCATAATTTGTAAGAAAACCAAACATTTTCAAGAAAAAGACATAATTTAACCCATCCTAAGGACTTGGAATACGAGTATATTTATATATTTTTATATTTCATAAAATCAAACATTTTTAATTTCAATTTAGAAATTACATTTTTTATGCATAAGTATTTTTCAAAGTAAGTATAATTAGTATTTAATTAATATGTTACATTTGTACCTGTACACTAGGGTTATGATTTTTTTTTAGATTTATATCCCTGTGGTGGCAAACGATGAACTTTTGTATAAATTTTCAAAAAATAACAATTTTGATAAATTATAAAAAAAAAACTCCCGCGCATAGTGGAATTTATTATCAGTTTCTAAGTGGAGAAAATTAATATTCAAACATGTTTTTCTTCTCAAATGTTTTATGGTTTTATTAAAGTAAAATAGATTCGTGGATTTAGTGCTAATACACATCGTTTTTAAATCAAAACTTGGTAGGCAAAAAGGAATTTCGGTCGAATTTGTATACTAGGTATGGGGCTTTGCCATGCAACAGCCTTGTAAATGAAATGATAATGTGCGCGGGAGGTATTTTCACGAACCAGCAAAAATATCGCCAAAAAGGTAATATATGGACAAAAGTTCATTAAATGCAAGCACAGGCAAATCAAAATTTAAAAAAGTGTAAAAAAATCATAACCCTACTGTACACTCTAAAAAGTGTGTGTAAAACTACTATTGTATCTATTTTTCAACAGGAATCTGTATAAATATACATACGTATAAGAAGGATTTGATTTTGAATTTGAGATCTTTAAAATATACACATACATATACACATGATATGTTTAAAGTTGCAAAAATTTTGAAACTAAAAATACATTTCCTACAAATAATAAACATTAGGGGCTTACATTTACTCTATTTTAAACATTTTATGTGTTATTTTGCTCTCTGCGACAAATTTTGTATGTTAAAGTAAACAGGCAGTGTTTAATTTTATTACACGGTGTGCAAATTTGCACACATTAAAAGAGGAGAATGGTAATCTCTCTTAATATGCGCAAATAAACAAAAAAATTTTAGAGTGTATTTAAAGTCTTTTCAGTAAAATTCATACAAATTTCCTTAAATAAATCAAATTTAGTTTTTTAAACAGTGCACTTTTAACTTCTTTCTTTTTAAATTAGCAAATGAAAATATGTGATATGAAAGAGATATATTTACTTTATATATTACAACGCTTTTATCAACTTGCAATGTTGTATGTCTGGACCACCATTTTATACTATAAATATAGCAAAGGTATTTATGGCAAACCTTGTCTAGATATCAACCTCGTCGTAGGTATCATATCAAAAACATACAATATAATATTATTTTAATTCCTTTGACAAATTTTTAAAATATTTGTATGCAGATTTTTTAAGCTTAAACCATTTTTTTTATCTGAGGGGTTTTTTGAAAAAAAAAAATAAACTATTTCTGTTCATAAAAACTCCATTTTTGAAGGAATTTTAAAATCGCTCCTGCTCACGTAAATCTTAAAATTTTTACGAAATATTTTGGTGAGTCTTAAAATATAATAGATTTTATAGTTCCAATGGAAAATGTACAGATGTATGTACATATATGCATACCGTGAAATTTTAAATAGAAAACTCATGAAAAAGATGATGTAGAATGGGTATTAACAGGAACCTATTCTCATGCGGGATGCAGAAATATTTATAGAGAATTTCAGACTTGGGAGTTTCTACTAAATGGTCGCTACGTTTGTGAGCTATACCATTTCAAAGTGATATTGTGTGACACTTATGTTTATTTATTTATTTTTAAGAATTTT